TATATAGATATATAGATATATAGATCAGACATTGATCTATTTATATATATATTCACATGTGTGAAACAGCAAACAGTACACAAAAGCCTTAATGTTGTTCTTTTTACGGCATCTGTAGTTGTCAATTTGTCTCTGAAAGTTTGCTTTCTTCCAGTTGCAAATCACAACTTGGTCTATCACAAATGCCATTCCGTTTCAGCAGAAGACGAATACTGCAATTAAATTCGACAGCAGGCTGCAAAAATTTTGATAACATTTAACTTGATTTAAAAAATTGTTTTGCAAACTAAATGTTTGCTGAAAAGAAGTAACCGCTGAAAGAACAAGTTTTTCTTGTTCTTTTTTGAAAAAGAAAAAAAATTTTGTTAAATTGTTGTTAATTTTTGTTTATTTTTGTAAACGTAAACAAGAACTTGATGCTGAAGTTTGAGCTAAATTAGTAACGGTGTAACCTGATCAACATCAAGTGAAAATGCTTGTGTTTGCATGCCAGCATCAAGGTCACCGTTGTAGACAATATCTGGAATAAAATTTGGAAACTTTGTGCAACCAGATTCATCAATTATCTGTATTCTTCGGGAATTTGAAGTGCCACTGGTCACTGTACAGTTTTGGATGGTCATACAATAAACATTGGAAGTTTTTACACCATAATCACAATCCCAGTGATGATATAATGGTTCACCAATATAAACCTGCCTAAAAATACCAACATTTATTTCTCATCTATTAGTGCTTTATTATTTTACCTATTATAAGCTATAAGTAGTAGTCTCAGAAAAAAAGAAAGAAATGAAGGTTTTATTTGGTTATTGTTGTCATATTGTTGAACTCAGAGAGAGCTCAAATTTAGTGAGCAATAGTTTTTTTCGCTTTGCTTGATAGAAAGAATTGAATTTTTTGTTGTTTTTACAAAATATTTTACGTTCAGTTAGAATAAATAGCTGCAATTTTTTGTTCTTGTTGATTATAAGACTTCGGAGACTTTGATGAATGTCTCAAAACATAGCATCTTCTATTTTTACATGATACAGAAGTATATTCTAGATTCAAATTGTTTAACAACAAAAGTTTATCTTGCAAAAAATGTAGCTATATGAAGCATAGATTTGAACCTAGGATATATTTACCATTTTAATGTACAGCAGTTGCCGGGTACTGTTGTTGCAACTACAACTGATTTTTTAATTCTTAAACAGTAATAAGTAAACCTATTTGGTAAAAGAAAGTAATTTCTGCGAAGAAAAAATAAGACAT